TATCATAACCGGAACCATTGAGCAGAAAGAACATTGTAATAAAGTACGTAGGGGATCAAACACAATAAAGTCTTCATGTGTAAATATTATATTAAACAAAATTTATATAATAAAAAAATTTGGTCGAAACTTATTTGGACAGAACTTTTCACTTTCGTGAAGCACAATCAAACAAGTTCAGTTTCTTAGATAAATTTTATATATTTTATGATTACCTCTCTAAGTTAAATAAAAAAAAATTATAGATTATTAAAGAAAAGCTGTCGGCTCAGAGCGTAAAAACTATTTTCAAAACTATTTAAATACCTACTAATTAAAAAATCCTCAAAAAAATTCATATGTTGGTTTAATTTATAGTTGAAAACCTATAATCGTGTTCCTCTAAAAATTGTTGTTCGTTCTTTAATGAAAATAAAAAAATATATTAGTATACAAAAAACTCTATTACAATGTTATTTTATATGTTACATAAACACTAAAAAAATTATCAATAGTAATACTATATATAGTTCACTAGGGATGGAAATATTATCGATAATTTTTTTTACGAAGTACGAGTGTCTGTTGTCATAATAATTCCCGACTGCGAAACAGGAGGGCATTAAACAGCAGACACGAGTAGTGCTTCAGAAGAAAAATTATCTGAAAATATTTCCATGGCGCGTGGTATTTTAGTTGAAAATTTGTCGAAGGAACCACTGTTAATGAACGACACGCTATTATATTATACAGTTTTATCAAGTTGCCAACATACATAGTTAGTATCGATGGCAATGACACGTAAACAATAATTTTATTAAAAGTAATAGCTATTAACATACCTAGGATGTAAAGAGTGCCATAACCGCCGCAGCTGTTAGCAGATTTTAAGACGGCTAAGGCGGTTATAGCACCATTTACGTCGGTGGTGTGTTCAAGATTATATGGGTTTCTGTCCATTTTAATCCAATAATAATACAAAAATTAATTAAAAAAATAAATAAATTTGATTGATCACGTTTGCATGATATATTTCGGTGTCATACTTACATTTTGTTGTTTATTTTAAAAAATATTGTGAACAGAATTAGAAAAGTAATGATTGATGATTTAGGCGACGTATTGCCAGAAAATGTTAAAAATGCAGCCAGTCAAGCATTGAACAGTTTAAATAAAACCGGTAAAGTTACTTACATTTATTGCTTTCACATTCATTACTTTTCAATTTCTTGACAAATGTTGACAATTGACATTTCAGTAAGGTAATGTAGTATTACCCTACCGATTTTACATACAGGATACAGTTATGGCTTTCCTACCAGCCAACTTTTATAAATGTAAGCAGACATTTAATAGACAGAAACCGGTAAATAGCTAATTTACGTTCGAAAAAGATGTGCGCTTTTAAAAGGTTTGGAAGTTCCTGTTTTCAAACTGTTGATGAAGTTATTATGTATCTAACAAAATACACAAAAATTAAAGGAATCTGTGTGAAGGCATTTTAACGCATTTTGTCAGAAAAGAAATTACCAATAAAATGTTGTCGTTTAAATTGACCTACAATAATCGTCATATTGGATAAAATAATTCAATTTGAGTCGTTCAGTGATTACTGAGTGAGGCAGTGCGAGTACATTCCTAGCTTGACGGGCTCCCAGGACATGTCACAATGCTGCCGATGGGGTTTTGAGGAAGACCAGCTGCTCGAAGTCTTCATCTCGGGCTTTTTGGATACGGCCTGAGTGTAGTTCGCGATAGCTCGTTTGACGGGGTCGCGCACTATGACGAATGAATAAATCCATTTGTGCATTTATTCCGTTTAATTTGTCCTACAATAATCATCACACTGGATAAAATAAATCAGTTTGAGTTGTTCGTTGATTTCTGAAAATAATTTCTAATTTCACTTTGACATTTGGATTTTGCATGCTTAATCCAAAGACGCGATCGCCGAACTTCGACAGTGTGACAGAACATTTCGCGACAAATCGGATCGGGCGCGAATTTCAAAATACGATTTTTAAAACCTTTTTACGGTAAATGACCGCCATGCAACGATTTGAAAAAAATACTGGCCGATAGCCTTCTTCGACCTCCACGAAGGCATCACTCAATAATAGCTTTAAAGTGATCTGGGGAGATATCATAAAATAAAAACCAATTTGCCATGTTAATTCCCTATGTCCAGACTTGGATGTGGCACCCTGTATATCAGTAATGTTACATTTTTTGTACCGCCAAGCAAACTTTTCTGTAATTTTATTCTGTCACATAAATATAACAACAATATGTAGGATATAACTCTGTTAGATTTTTGTTATAATTATAACTTGTATAGTTTGTGTTGCCTGGGCAAACCGCTATAGAACTGGCTTAGAGGATCAGGGATGTACGTGGCAGGACTGTATGTGCACAAACAGTTAAAAGAAGCTTGATAGAAAACGGTTTAAAAGCTCGAAAACCCGCTCGCATACCAACCCTCCTGGTACGCGACAAACAAGGAAGGCTTAAATTTGGGAGGTTGCATCAGAACTGGGAAGCGAACGATTGGAGGCGAGTACTCTTTTCAGACGAATCGCGATTTTGTTAGCGTTCACCAGATGATCGGCACAGAGTTTGGAGAAGAAGATGTGAACGATTTTGTGAAGCGACTATGGTTCAACAAGAACATTTTTGGGGAGGTTGTGTAATGATATGAGGTGGAATTTCTTTAGAGGCGAAAACCGAGCTTTTTATTCTCCAGAGACGTTGTTTTAAACGTTAACACTTACATTAGAGACATTTTGCAAGACCAAACGACTTGCTTGATTTCTTGTTTATGCAAGATAACCCGAGACCACACGTTGTTAGATGTGTAATTAATTATCTACAGGAGGTAAAAATTCAACACATGGAATGGCCTGCGATGAGCCCTGACTGGAACCCCATAGAGCATGTATGGGATGAGTTAGGAAGACGCGTCAGAGATCGTCCGGCGCGTCCAGAAATGCTGCAAAAGTTAAAAGTGGCATTAAGAGAAGAATGGGAAAATATTGACCAAAATGTCATTCGAAATTTAACACATGCCCCGAAGAATTTCTACATTGTTGAATGTTCGAAGAGGCAATACGCATTATTAATTTAATGCCAAGAACAAAAAAATCTTGTTTATTGTACACTCTCCACAAAAATTATCGCACCACCTTCAGTTCTTGTGAACCAGACTACATATGGCTACCATATACATATTAGAGATAAATGTATGCAAAACAATGCCAAATAATGACAATGTTTAATATAATTTCGACCAATGTGTTCTACATATATTCAAATTGGAAATATATAAAATTTTGGGAGCGGTGCGATAATTTTTTTGGACAGTATAATTAACTTTTTCCTGAGTTTTTTAAATTTAACATTTAGGTTGTTAATAAAGTCTTTATTTAGCTAAAAACTATGATTTACTAATTAATTATAATATTAAGGCCAAAATAATATTTTCTTTTTTTAATCAGTAACACATGATATCACTTTTTTCTAGGGTGCCATTTAACTCAGTGTAATAATTGTATTTTTGCAAATAATTAATTATTACAATACAGAAAATTAATTCTTTCACCATTATTATTGCTTTCATTAATAAGAATAATATGATCTATTGGAGTTTTAACTCCTTTCTTTTCGTATTACAGAACACGTATACGACGCGCGCCGGAATACGAGCTCGAACTCGGTGTCGGTGTCGAGGACACCGAGACCGAGTCTGAACTGAGTCTGAACATAGGCATGTAACGTCACGCTATAGAAAGAGAGAGAGAGAAATAAACAATTTAATAAAATGTGTTCGTTTGCCTGTTCCAACAACAATTTACAAAAAAATCATCAAAATTTGGAAATATTAGTCGAAGGAATACCGAACGTCGTAAATCAGAATATGTTGGCTACAAAAATGAGATTTGTAGTAGAAAAGTACAAACAAGCTTACTTATATAATATGCACAAGGCAGGAATTATGAACATTTTCTTTCGTGTATAATAGTTAGCCATGGACTTTCCTTCTTGTTGGTTTTGTTTTCGTTTATAATTTACACTGCACCAAAAAATTATCGCAACACATGCAAATTTGTCAATATTTTAAATTTACCAAAAAAAAAAAAAAACACTTATAACATGTATATTGCAAAATATTTTCAATTTTACCAATAACAAACTGCTGGCACAAGAAAGTCTGTTATTGCAAAAAAATTAAATTAAAGAAAATTGCACAAAATCAAGTGTCAAGACAAAACAAGTTAAAACAAAACAACTAAAAAATAAATTACGTGTGTTGCCTCGTTTTGCTCTTATAACCTCATGGCAACGTCCTCACATACCTACTTAAAATGAGATTGCGCAAATAAACATCATTTAATTGTTCCCACACTTTAATCACAAGCTGCCCCATTCGAAAATCATTAAGAATATTCAAACACTCGATTCAATTTTCTATGTCCAGATCAAAACCAAGTGACTAAAAAGATGTATTCACAACAATTTCTAAATCTCTGTCTTTAAAACAATGGGGTTGTGATTTTTCGTTTAATTTTATGACAATTTAAAAATGACGAATGTCTTTAAAATTGTTCATGAAAAGCGCTTATGTCTAATATCCTTTTCTATGCAGAGTATAAGTCTATAAAATATATGGATGTGGAATTTAAAACTAAATATTAGTCGATAAATGTGTAATCTACCGCAGCCAGTCTGTTGAGGCACTTTATATAATATCAACACCTAAAGCTAATATCTAGTATTTATCTAAACTATAAAATTATGTACATATGTAATATTGTTACATGAGTTTTAATAAAGAATGAACTTTGTATCAGATTAAAATAATTAAAAAAAAAACGAAAAAGCCCAAGTAAATGAATTATTTTTTTGGTTAGAAATGTTGCTAGTTCCGAAATTACTGTTGGTGTTTAACGAGTGTTAAAATTACTAACTTAGACATGAGAAGCTTGTATTAAGTACAAAAGAAGGTAGTCATGTATAAAACTCACCCAACATGCCAACTGGAAACTGCCCTGGCGCTTCAAGAGGGTTGGCAATAACACTTTGTGTTACTACCCAAACATAATTCTCTCCAGTAAGATGAAAATCCTTAGCGGCACTGAGTATGTCTATCGCCTCTTGACTTGTACAATATAGTAACATTACGCGAGCTTCAGAATCTACCAGTGCAGCCAGATCTCGGTGATGTGATACAAGAACGGCGTTAAGAATGGTAAACTTAAAGCGGTCCTGAAAAAAGAACAGAAAAATATTAGCGTTAATATTATTATCCGCAGTGTGTTGTGTTATACACAGTGAATAATAATAATTAACCTGTAGCGTTGTGAAATTTGGAACGTCTCAAAATAATTCCTTCTTTTTTAGAATGAACCTTCCGTTGTAAAAACATGTTATTATTATTATTATTATAACACCAAATATTTCATACCCATAATGCAATTAATAAAAATTTATGGATATTATTGGATATATCTCCTAATACTAAATGTATAAAATTTTAATTATAACAACAAACAGAAAAAAAAATCCCCACAAGAATCTGTAAAAAATATGTAAGGTGTTAGTTAAAACAAAGAATAATATACAAAAACAAATAGACGTTTTCAAATCAGGTTGATGTAAATTTAAAACGATTTAATTAGACGTAGGTATACACAACACTGAAAGTACTCGCAGAAACAAAACAGCTTCTGCCTGGCCTTTTTTTCCCATATGCAAGGTATATGATATTATATCAAGAGATATTTTTTACTAAGAAACTAGTTTGAAGAAATTAGACATTAATTTCTTTAGAAACATTATTTACCTTTCCCTCAGAAATACAACCGGTGCTGTACTGTAAGACACTGGGTCGCTAACATCATGTAAAGTTAAATGATATTATAAAATATATCAGGGTTACTCTTATTATTAAAAGCAATAACATAATAATAGTAATCAAACAGAATTTTATTTTCATTATATTTCATTAATCAAATACCCTCGTCTGAAAGAGCAATGGACAACGCTCTTCCGCTTTACAATGTACTAACTCAAAGGAATGCCTCAACTTTGAAAACACAACTTCAGGAACAGTAGCTGAATATTATGGTATATTATAATTAAATATTTATTATATTTATTATAATTATATAATATAAAATATAGTATAATATACAGATAATAGTTTTGTAAAAATTTAAATGTTTGAATAATTTTATTATATACCACGTAGTTTTTAATGTACTCACGGACAAATAAATTATACATGAATGTTGCAATAAGGGACATCGTCGGTAAAGACATTTTCTGCTGACAAAAATAGCCAAATTCGTGTAATGGATTAAACTTTGCACAATTCAAACTTGTTTAAAAATCTACCGTGCTGAACGACCTGATCAATTAAAATATTTCACTTATACGGCGGTGTTGTTTTAATAAATGATGTTTGGAAAATCCACAACTATGTATATGGTATGTTATTCATCAGCAGCATTTTAGCCGATAAACGTTTGGAATGTCATTAATACAGAAGTACTGAATACTGTGTATACCTTGGTATTGATTATCGCATTTATTGTACACATTACACATCGTATCACGTCATAAATATATACTTTTCCTTAGTACCTTCGATCTTTTATAAGGATTATATTTGATATATTATAATGTAAATATAAGTTGTATATGTATACGAAATTCGCTTTGTAAAAATATACATTTTTCTACATCTGTTAAAAAAGTAAATCTTTGATGTCATTATGGGTTATTAAAACGAAACATGTTAACGCCAACCCTCATATTACATTACTTTACATATGGGGTGATTTTGTGGGGGAGGGGGCGCAGTGGCTGCGATCAGAATTTGTAGGGTGCAGAAGAGGGTGTTGCTGGTGATGACTGGGTCTCATACAGGGATATGTAAACCAATTTTCCAGAAGTTGGGAATCATGTGCGTAACTCTTCCGTGCCTGTAGATACATCAGTCACAGACTTATTATTATATTGCATAAAAAATCAAAAATGCTACCGAAACAAAGACATACACGTAACTATGACACGAGATTTAACTCTCACTTAGCCATACCTAGGATATCGTTTGACATGCTCAGCTAATAATAGCTTAAATATGAAATTATAATAATAACTTACCGTCCGACGTTAGGAATTTCAGCCAAATGAAATTCAAAAATTATGTTAAACAATTGTTACAGAACAAAATGTTATTTACTCGGTTGAGAAGTTCCTTGGTGACTTAATCTGCAGTGTGCTTACAGTAATTACAAATTCCGTTTATTGTTTCCTCCTTTCTTTGCTGTAATTCGACTAGTTTTTAGTTTGTTTTGCAGTCAGATAGGTTTGAATCTTTTGAACTGATGTTACTTGGTGACTGATTAATGATTATGCAGTGCGCCTACAGTAATCCCTATTTACCTTCTTTTAGTAATGTAACATGACGTACTTTAGATTGTTGATATGTAAATTGATTTTTTATTTGTTGTGTTATTAGATTACTTACTGGACGTACTACAAATCTACCCTGTGTATAACGTAGCTAATAAAGACATTATTATGATATGTATTATTATTATTATTGTTAACGTTGTTATATTATTATCACAATTTTTTACGTCTTTTGTCTTTTGTTTCAAGCCAAAATACAACTAAGCTCAGTTTATTGACAACCCCTTTGTTCAAATTTCAAAAACGATAATTCATTTAATAAAATTGATTTTTTTTTTTGAAGCGCAAGCATGTTAGCGGATGAAGTCACAAATATTAACAAGAGAAAAAATTTTAAAATTCACACAAGACGCTGCACATAAAATTTATCTTATGGTCAAGGTAAGGCATTTTTCTTCGTTATAAAAAGTAACTTCTATTTTTTGATCTGCTTCAATGACAGCAATCATCACAGGAACATGCCAAACAGACGAATTCTGTAAAATGGAAATATTTAATTTTGAAAAAAAAAATATACAGTTGCCGCCAAAAAATTTCAGACGTCAATGTCATTCAATCGTCAGATAGTGTAAAGCAACCTTTAGATGTTTAGGTATTTTGAAAGTTTGACATTCCAGCTGTCCGAAATAATGACAATAAAGCATAGACTACATTAAAATTTTTGACATGACAGAAAAGTGATGTTTGAAATTTTTTGTCGGAAACTGTATATAAATGATATTAAGAACTTCTAGGTGAGTACAATACTAATTTTCTGATTTTTTCTCATTATATTCCTAGAAATGAAAAAGACACTGTTTACATTCAGTAGTCAAGAGAAATTGTTAAACGTAAAGTTATTAACCCTTTACATGTTTGTTATCTAATAAGTATTTAGTTACGTTACCGGCAGCAGGAAAAAATATATTATAAATCAGACACTATAAAGTAACAAATCGATCTCCTTAGTCATCAAACTTCAAATGCTAAAATACCTTTTAACTAGCTAGTTTGGCCATTTGGGATGAGTTTTTCAGAGTTAACTCTTCTAATTTTTATTTGTGAACAAATACTTCTAGAGTCTTCGAGGACGTTGATGGAGCAAATGGCATAGCCTCGGAAAGTACTACTACACGAACAATTAACCACCTTTCAGTCTCTAATGTTTCTAGGACAATTCTATCTCAGACCATTAGATCAAGAGATGAGACAAACAAATGTAAAAAATGACCCCTTCCAATGAATTTAACCATAATGCGCTTACATTGTAAAATAACAAATAGTAAAACTGAAAGTAATTATTGCACACGTCTACACGAAGCCTTCAGCCGTGAGCACCCAAATTTTCCACTTACTATTCAAAACTTAGCGCTATAGTTAAAAACAATACATTACGTTATAAACCCAAAATACCACTGACAATAATTGATGTAGACACCAACAACACACAACCACATTACAGGTTGATATATCCATCAATAATAATTTTGTGAAACACGACACCTCGAAGTAATATCCCAATTAGCTTACAAAACACTAACAACGCACAATCACAGACACTATACCTGACACAACTACCTATTAAAAAATTGTCAGACACTCACAACTGCTAAATTAACATCCCAAGTAAACTACAAAACATAACACGGTATCCATCATCTTCAACAAATAATAATAACACATGCTTTAAAAATGAAGATACTTCGATCAAAACAGTAAATAGCACCTTTCAATTCCACATAAATTTCCAAAATGAAATAGAAGACAAATTTAAATTCACTTTTGTAACATATTCCGGATTAAAACCGAATGATAGACATTCGCTTCCATGTCAGTGTTATTCTCAAAAATTTCTAGCAATTGTCGAAATAACGAACCGATACGTTTTACCTAAATATCTCAAAAACTCTACTCTTTTGAAAAACTTCACATAAATCACACAATTATCTACTGTGCAGCTTTAGCTCATACCTACGCTGCTCCACACTGGGAAACAAGATTAAGTGCAATATTGACCAAAAATAATTTTTACCCAAAAAAATTTGACCAAAATCGGTATAATAGTTTTGGGGATTATGTGTCTAACAAAAATTGACACAGACAGCGGACGACAGCCTGACAGGCGGACACGGGAGACCCATTCATTCGTACTCTAGGGGTCATGACGCATCGAGAAAATATGAAAGCGGCCAGTCGCCCAATCTGCCCGATTACAATACTTCCTTAGCTTAAGCTCAGGAAGTAATAAAGTTCTTTTTAAAAACAAGTTGATTTAACCAATAAACTTCTCACTTAATACTATATACCAAACAAAGACAATAAATAATACGTAATTGCCACTTAAACATCAGTAGAATGTGAAGTTACGTCACCATATGTTCCTTTGTGTAGACTTTGACTAAGCGGGAATCGGTAATATCAATTACTAAAAACTTACATACTGTTCATTCTGAACACATTTACTGAGCAAATTAGTCAGTGCATTCATTATCAATGGACACATTGACGGAATGAACACTCTGACTTTAACCTAAATGCGCGGTGTTCTATTGAAAAAATCACTAAGTTGGCTTTAATTTTTGTAAACATTGTGAAGTATGTCTATCATAATAAGTAAGTAAACCTAAAATGTAATTGTTGACAGCTGACAACGTGGAAATGTTAATTGTATACAACACAAAAATATGTATTGGTATTACTAAAACACATGCGTTTTTTGCTACGTTTTCTTTTATCAAAAAGGCAACGTCAACTTGATGACTTTTTCAGTTGACCACCGATTATGTACTTATGGAAATGAAAAAGCA